TTAAAAGAAGTAAGAAAGTTTATTTGCATTGTGACAATATCATACAAAAAGCAATGTACAGATTGGTCCCGATGGGAAATGCGATGAGGATGGGCACACATCGCCAGGTAATATAAAACAACTTCAAAAGTCATTTTGATGACATCTGGATCACGATCAGATGATGTGTCGAAGAATCGTTCAATCTGAAACTATCACTTCTGGATCGACTTGAAATAGTTCGGAACATATCACTGGTAGTGTCGGCCGATCTTGTGAACCCGTGGTTGGAGACGTTTCTGGGAAACGTAGTATTACTCCAGCTCGTTTACGGCACCTGTAAAACAGAAAATATAACATAAGTCACATGCAATTTATATTTCAAATAACTTTTGTTGCATTAAATATCACTTTTAATTATTTTTCATTTTTTTTAATCCATAGAATATCTTAATTATAACTATGCAAACAGCTTTAATTTGTAATCAAATAAAACATTTACAGTTACCCATATGTGACTATTTATTAGCACAGCTACACTCTAATTGATGGAAGTGTTAGGTGCTGGTGTACAGAAGTATGTGTCTACACATATACGTGTGTGTGTGTGTGTGCATGTTTGTGCATGGATGGCGTGAATTTGTATATACAATGTATATATATATTTGTGACTTTCATATTTGCATCTTGACATCTACATTATTAGATATAGTTACCTAAGTTAATATGTCATGTACACTTTACTTTTATTAATTGTTAGATGTACTTGTATGGAGAGGTGTTTAAATAGGGTCTGCCTGTTCACTAATCCAACGAGTTTGGGGGAGAATTTTGTTTTACTGACATACCTTATGCGAGAGTCTTTCCGGCATGGTGCAGTGATAGAATCCACGTGACGAGAAGCCTTGAAGCATTGATTCTGATTGAGGAAGTGAAGGCTGAAAGCATAAACATAAAGACCATAAGTAATTGAACAAATATTTCAAGGCAGGCAAAGGATGTCAACAGTATAGATCTGTTAAAAAATATGAGCCTAAGTTTTCTTAGGGATGCAAATTAAGAGAGAAATATATCAGTTTCAATTAGTGTTATTAAGTAATTTCTTAATATTTTAAAGAAATTTTTGCATTTGGAAGTGTAAAAACTGAAACAAATTTATTTGTTTTTATTTCGGGTTTTACGGCAGGTATTCGTCTAATACTTTTGTAATTATTTTTAAGAAAGAACGAAGAAATGTTGTGGTCCTTACCTTGGAATGATGTTCTGTGGGTTGTCCTGGCGGTGAAGGCAGATGTGTGATTATTACGCCTTGATGTGGACGGATGAATAAACTATGGGATTGTCAACAGCAGTGGAAATCGTCATTGTCGTTGTATAAGCAGGAACTAACATCCCAGGAACGGTGGACAATAGCTCAACATCGCATCAAAACTCAAGGCAGTGTTGTCCTAGCATGCCGGCAAGGCAAATCAAACGAAGAGATTGTCACAGGATTTTGATTTTCGACTTGCTTGCTTGAACAGTTTACTTAGGAACAACATGGCTCTTTTGGGGACAGTTTCTCCTTGGGTTTCTCCGTTAGCACAACCTGGTTCACTGGGATGTTGAGCTTGAAGCGAATTTGACTGAGTATTCCGACTAAGAGCTCATCCACATGATGGTTGATGGCAACGGATGTTTCTGTATATTTGCAGTCGTACTTCATGGCGATGACCTTAGCTTCTGAAATTCGAAAACACCGACATAAGTAACATGCATTCATATTTTACAAACAAAATCATTTATTACTAAACTTACAGAGAATATTCATTTTCAAGCAAAGACAATGGTGAAGAGAAAGAAATTACTGAACCACGACAGCGTGACGAATACACGCTGTGGTTCTCAGTCAAACTCTAGTTCTAGTTCCATGTTTAAGCTGGAGAGAAAGCCTTAACAAGTCTTCACGTACCTGACGATGGCACTCGACGTTGCCGAACAAGATCTGTCTTGTTAGCAACAAGGATGATGGCTCGATCGGTTCCCATTTCAACCCGGAGCTGGCGCACCATGTTTACGGCAGTTTCAAATGATTCCTGGTCTGTGATGGAGAAAGCCACGACATACGCATCGACTCGGAGGTCTTCAAAATCACAGTCCTGAAAACCCAACAAAACACGGATAAGTTAGTGTGGACGATTGTACCCATGTATTGCTCTTTTGTAATTATATTTTATGAATGCCCAAGATGAATAGACATTGTTTGTGTTTTAATCAGAATTACCTACTTTGAAATTCGCTTTAAGAATCAAAGTGCGAGACAATAGAAATGGTTATGTCGGCATAATGTGCAATGCCGGATTATAATTGAAAATGTCAAGGCATGTTCATTCTGTTTTAGGAACAGGTAAGATACACAGTGAAGATGTTATTTAAAGACCCACCAGGACCTTCTTTAAATTTGCGTTAAAATGAAGTGATATTTTTCAACTCACCTCGGGGTTATCGATAAACTCCATCATCGACTCTTCTCCATCCAACATGACGGAAACAATTGAATCATCATGCTCGTCGGGATCAGCTGTTGAAATAAAGTAAAACAACATAAATGCCAAAGTATGTCAAACCTAAAAATCTATTTCAGCCCTTGTAAAATAGGACGCTGAACGAACATTAAAATATATCAATTGATCAAAACGTTTTGTGATATGGTGCTGATAAAAACACACGTAACCTTGACTATGCCCATATGCTTTGAAAAGGTATACAATGTGTGCGAACAAATGAAGTTGATTTCGTCATGCAGTCCTAAACTATCGAAGATAAAACTGAACTGCTGTCACTTTGACTATCATACTGAAACAAACATCTGTTACAGAAAATAATATTGTCATCGCCACCTTTCACCTCCTACACAAACCCTTTAGCTGAGCGTGGCGTTTTAATCAAAATGCAATGAACATCTGTTGCTGGTCGCAAAAGCAGCATGAATGTTTACAGAACATGAGGTATTGACATATGTACGTATCAGACACAGCTACCGAATGTGTTTCCTTTGAAGTCTGGTTAGAATAATGAAAATTACACAACCGTTACGAAATCATCTTACATTGCGCGCATTACAAAATCAGTTGCTTTTTCCAAAACGTATAAACGCTTTCAGCCACTGTGCAGTATTGATCTTAGCGTCCAATCAATGCCGGTCGTGTTCAACCAAAAAGATTCGTTCTGTGAAGGAGATTCAGGGACTACTTAAGGCTGTTTTTCTCCAGAAACCCGATTAAAAAGTCAATAAGGCGGAGAATTGCCTTTGACGGCTAAATATAGAAGGCCAGGATACACGCTGCTGGGCGAGAGTGAAGAAAGCCTCGAATCGATCGAGGTACACGTCATATCACGCGAGGATAGAAAACTGACGTCACTGGACAGATTTGGGATATGACGTCTTGTCTAGAAATGAGTAGGCCAAGAAATTCAAAATATTGTTTGTCTCCTATCACAACCATTAACCTTTGAAGTCAATGACGTATATAATCTTTAAATATTAATTAAAAGTACCGGATCACATCATGCATTAAGTACCATTATTCGTTCATAAGAGTATTTGCATATTATAATTATATTTATGCAAGCTAGACGTATGAAGGAGATGCTTAAATATCAAAATGAGACTGATATTACATGCAGTTCTATTTTCTCATATTGAGACCGATTATTAACATGCAGTTCTACTTTCTCATATTGATACCTATAACTAACATGCAGTTCCATTTCCTCATATGTAGACCGAGTTTTAAAATGCAGTCTTAATTTATCCAATCACACGAGTGGGTGTAGGTTGAAATCGCCTCGACATGTGTTCTCGAACTTCTATAAACTGGACAAAAGTAGTTACAATATTGATTTAAATCCTACCTATCGCCCACAGTTGAACTGGAATAGCTACTGCGGTTTTATAAATACATTCTATTATTAAGAGCGGGCGCGAAACGTATAGTGTTATCACATTGCCCTGGTATCGATCTACACCCGCAAGGTATGGATGAGTCAGTGTCGTCAGCGAGACAGAGAAAGCCGATGACAACATTTCGCCATGACATCAGCGTGCTTGTCAGAGGGCTCTTCGCTCTGCATCTCGCCCCAAGAGGCGTATTTCGAAATACTTGTTTTGCAGCGTTGGTCTTGATGGGTCAGATTTGGAATAATATTTTGGAACAATATGTTGTTCCGTATGATCAAATATTTGATACATATAAACAGTGTGTGAGTTAAAAGTTTACGGCACCAGGACAGTATCTCAGCATAACGTGACCAGATGCATACATTTGAACACTGATATCCTATTGAAACTACTGGATCACTTAAAAGTTAGACATGATGTCACGATATTGCATACCATATGAATATTTCACGTGGTTAAATAAAGGTGTTGGTTACATAAATGCAAGATTATTTTTATGTATCAAAAGGAATCGTACTTACGGGTTATTACATCATAGGAGCCCATATATTCCGATGTCATGAACTGTCGGGTGAGTGTGGTTTTCCCCACCCCGGGGGCACCGAGCATCACCACCCTGAAGTAGGAGGGTGCGGCTGAAGATCCCCCACTAACGGCTGTACTTTCCTCTGACGCCACACTTAGTGTCCTCTGTCTCTGCTCATTCTCTGTGACGGTGCTTCCAGATGACATCAAACTGACCGTACTCCTCTTCTTGAAGGAGTCCCCGTGGTTGACAACACCCTTGGAAGTGGTTTTGAAGGATCTCACGCGGAAGAAACCGTCGTTTTGTCCGAACATCCGAAGATCTCCATGAAGTCCGTCGGGTAATGAGAGAAACACTGAACAGTTTGGCATACTATTGATCCGTGGTCTGGCATCGGCGAGATCAAGTTCCAACTTTGGTCGGGGCCTGTTTTTGAAGGAACAGGAACGAGAGTGGGGTGCTGATGCCGACACTCTTTCTGGAAGCACGTGGAGGAGCTGTTCTTGCTGCATAACGGTACTCGTCGGTAATTTCATCGAAGAGACTGTGAAAAATCAGGAAGACTTGAATAAAAAATCCAGGAACCAAGTTTGGAAGACTTGCAAAGCTGTCTTTACCAGTGCCTCGTCCAGCGGGCGCTAGCTGCTGTGTGTAATGATCTGTCGTCTGCTAGCTAAGGCTACGCTTTTACTATTGCTGTGAGCATGTGTATTCCCCGCTTTTATTCTTGTACACAAGACCACGTGACGATTATTCATCCTGCGCAACCAATGAAGTCGGGGATCGATACCGACACCACACGCACAGTGAGCCCAGTCAGCGTAGGAGCGGCTCGGCGGAACTAAACATTCATACATTCAGTACTAATGCCCCAGTATAAAGAAAAGTCAGACACACAGTACCCAAGGAAAAGGATATAGGTGAAGGGGTATGCAGTGCAGGTGTTGTGGGGTTCATGCTTCGTGTGTGCAACATCCCTCCCGAGTGCTCTTCAGTATCCTATCCTTCTCGGCCAGTGGGGATATTTATAGAACAGGTTTCTACATATACAGTTTCTGCGTGTTGTTAGGTATTGTACGAGCGGCAGTTACTTATCATCCACGCAGTCAAGAATCTGCCTTTGTTACATTGTTTTACTACATGCATATTTAAACATCTTCTTCCCACTCTTGTCTTGAAACATCCTACAGAACAACCTTCTGGGTGGGTTGAACATTCCAATGTCGTTAGTCACGTTAACGTTGCAGGATCAATTGCAGCCACTCTTTGACAATTGTTTTTTATCTTGAATGTATTTTTATTTCTTCTGTCAAGTACTTCGCATGATGCTACCAGTTACAATGTAAATGGGTGTTAACTCTATGACTAACCTGTATTTCTAAAGCTGGGTGACATTTATGATTGATGTTCATTTCTGTAGACATTGATTTAACGAATAGTTTTCACACAAAATGCGCACTTATAAACTAATAATAACTTGCCACGTCATGAAAAAAAATGAACACTATGTCATCATGTCCGTCATGAAAAAATGTATGAGGCCACAGATGGCGTGGTCGCAATATTTTTTAAGTGGACAATTTAATGAATGAATGCATGTTCTTTTTTTCAAATGATTTTAAACGATTTTCTTCAAACGCCTTGTAAGGAACTGTCTTAAGTACTTTACGGGTCCGCCGTTGTGAATGAGTTGATACATCCATTTCAAAGAGAGCTTGAGTTTTATGGCTAATCATATCGGATCTGGAAGCAATTATTTGTCGGTTCTTTTAAATTGTGAAGACCTTGAGATATCTTCTTGTAAGTTCCTGAAGATACATTTAAATAGCTGTTACGAACGACGAAAACACTTCAGTTACTAGGTTGATCATGAATTGGAATCTAAAACTGCCCAATTGGTGTATCTGATTGAAATAAGAGAGATAGAGGACATTCACAACGGACGTGAACTTGACAATGACATTGGTAATGATGGGTTGAAATGTTATGAAAGAAACACTTGCAACCTTGATCAACATCGATCCCGAATATATTTAAACATATCCTATTTGAGCGTAGTAAACAACCAGCCAATTTCATACATGGAGTATGTTTTAAGAAAACATAAATCGATAGCAGAGTCACTATAAGTTAGGATATTATATTTTCAGATGAAAATTACGATTCATGGCGTGCTTGGACTTGACTTTGAAACTGTAAATATTGAACGCATAAGTTATGAAAAAATACACAACGATCGCATTCAACGCGAATATATATTTCTTGCATGTGTGATATTTCATTACATGTAGAATGGTTAGCAGACATTTTCATCTACAGTTCCTGGTGAATGAGATAAAATTTTAATTTCAATTTAAGCCCATATTGTTTAGCTTATATACTCATGCCATTAATGGTTGTCACCCCCTTCAATGTTTGTAAATTGGAGAGGGCGTGGGGGGGTGGGTGGGGAGGGGGTGACAACCATTATTGGCATGAGTATATATCAATAGTGTTTTGAAATATATGTGAATCACGTTCCACGCGAATAACATACTTAAGGAATGCATCCAAGTAATATTCATCACAATCACTGCTGACCAGGGGCGGTGGGGTAGCCTAGTTGTTAAGGCGTTCGCTCGTCACGCTTAAGACCCAGGTTCGATTCCCCAAATGGGTACAATGTGTGAAGCCTATTTCTGGTGTCACCTGCCGTAGTGTTGCTGGAATAATGCTAATAGAGGCGTAAAACCATACTCACTCACTCACTCACTGCTGGCCAGGTGTGTGGGGGGTTGGAGTGGGGAGGGGGGTGACAACCATTATTGGCATGAATATATATCAATAGTGTTTTGAAATATATGTGAATCACGTTCCACGTGAATAACATACTTAAGGAATGCATCCAAGTAATATTCATCACAATCACTGCTGACCAGGGGCGGTGGGGTAGCCTAGTTGTTAAGGCGTTCGCTCGTCACGCTTAAGACCCAGGTTCGATTCCCCAAATGGGTACAATGTGTGAAGCCTTTTTCTGGTGTCACCTGCCGTAGTGTTGCTGGAATAATGCTAAAAGAGGCGTAAAACCATACTCACTCACTGCTGACCATGGACTGAGTAATGTGATAAGCTACTGATAACCACGTGCACTAGTGAACCTAGTACATCCAATTTTATTATGGAATGCTCATCATATTTAACGCGAAAACCTGCATGGAGACTGGTTGACCAGATCCAAACTCTTGTTAAAAGCTAATAGGTAAAACATTAAAAGCATAAATTGTTAAAAAGTCATTACAAGGGTTACGAGATGTATGGGATTTTGGCTTTGTTTTGACTGTGTCGTTGGTATGTTTACATTTGGGCTGACACGCATTTTCGCCGAAGAGCCACATTTATTTAAAGGCTCTGATTGTGGTTCGATAATGTAACTACACATTGAAAACTGACAGATCACTATCTTTAAACCTGCTGTCCACTTCCACTGGGAAGGGTCGATTTTCTGCAACACCAAAACTATTATCCCTGTCTGACCTGATTCTGCTTAAGACAACACATTCGTATGGATGTTTACGACCACGATCGTCTAGGATTACACAGAGCGCCTCGCAGCTGTATATAAGAATACAAATTACACTGGTCTAGATACCGACCTCAGACTATAATCAACTCCGAGGCTTCTCGTTGTTACCCATAACAGACAGTGACCGATTATTGTCAGGCGTGTTAGGGAATGTGTCTATGTCAAACAGAACCTTCATTTCACGACATTAATTTGTCTATGGCCTTGGGATTTTTTTCAATCCTAAGCGACAAGGAATCTCCCAAAATGTCGTGAAACTGCCTGTGGCTTAAGTAAAAGTTGTATAAGTAAGATGTCGTGATCTTCAGTAAATGCTTGCCTGTGAGTGTCTTAAGTAAATGAGTTAAAACTTTCTAATTTCAACTGAGCGTTAACCCCCGGAGGCAAGTATCTCTCACATGTTTATATTTCTCAGGTTGACATGGTATTCATCTGAGCGTTAACCCCCGGAGGCAAGTATCTCTCACATGTTTATATTTCTCAGGTTGACATGGTATTCATCTGAGCGTTAACCCCCGGAGGCAAGTATCTCTCACATGTATCTATTATCTCAGGTTGACATGGTATTCATCTGAGCGTTAACCCCTGGAGAAAAGTGTGTCTCACATGTTTATATTTCTCAGGTTGACATGGTATTCAACTGAGCGTTAACCCCGGAGAAAATGAGAAAAGTGTGGTTTCAACTGACATGTTTATATTTTCTCAGGTTGACATGGTATTCAACTGAGCGTTAACCCCGGAGGCAAGTATCTCTCACATGTTTATATTTATCAGGTTGACATGGTATTCAACTGAGCGTTAACCCCAGGAGGCAAGTATCTCTCACATGTTTATATTTCTCAGGTTGACATGGTATTCATCTGAGCGTTAACCCCCGGAGGCAAGTATCTCTCACATGTATTATGTATCTCAGGTTGACATGGTATTCATCTGAGCGTTAACCCCAGGAGAAAAGTGTGTCTCACATGTTTATATTTCTCAGGTTGACATGGTATTCATCTGAGCGTTAACCCCGGAGGCAAGTGTCTTATTCAACAGAAAAGTGTGTCTCATGTTTATATTTCTCAGGTTGACATGGTATTCAACTGAGCGTTAACCCCAGGAGAAAAGTGTGTTTCACATGTTTATATTTCTCAGGTTGACATGGTATTCATCTGAGCGTTAACCCCCGGAGGCAAGTATCTCTCACATGTTTATATTTCTCAGGTTGACATGGTATTCATCTGAGCGTTAACCCCCGGAGGCAAGTATCTCTCACATGTATCTGTATCTCAGGTTGACATGGTATTCATCTGAGCGTTAACCCCTGGAGAAAAGTGTGTCTCACATGTTTATATTTGTCAGGTTGACATGGTATTCAACTGAGCGTTAACCCCGGAGAAAAGTGTGCCTCACATGTTTATATTTCTCAGGTTGACATGGTATTCATCTGAGCGTTAACCCCCGGAGGCAAGTATCTCTCACATGTTTATATTTCTCAGGTTGACATGGTATTCATCTGAGCGTTAACCCCCGGAGGCAAGTATCTCTCACATGTTTATATTTCTCAGGTTGACATGGTATTCATCTGAGCGTTAACCCCGGAGAAAAGTATCTCTCACATGTTTATATTTCTCAGGTTGACATGGTATTCAACTGAGCGTTAACCCCCGGAGAAAAGTGTGTTTCCTCACATGTTTATATTTGTCAGGTTGACATGGTATTCATCTGAGCGTTAACCCCCGGAGGCAAGTATCTCTCACATGTTTATATTTCTCAGGTTGACATGGTATTCATCTGAGCGTTAACCCCCGGAGGCAAGTATCTCTCACATGTATCTGTATCTCAGGTTGACATGGTATTCATCTGAGCGTTAACCCCTGGAGAAAAGTGTGTCTCACATGTTTATATTTGTCAGGTTGACATGGAATTCAACTGAGCGTTAACCCCGGAGAAAAGTGTGTCTCACATGTTTATATTTCTCAGGTTGACATGGTATTCAACTGAGCGTTAACCCCCGGAGGCAAGTATCTCTCACATGTTTATATTTCTCAGGTTGACATGGTATTCAACTGAGCGTTAACCCCCGGAGGCAAGTATTTCTCAGGTTGACATGTATTCATCTGAGCGTTAACCCGGAGA